CATTCGCCGAGCCGCCGGCGGAGCTGCCCCAGGAGAGCCGCTCAGGACCGTCCCGAGCCGGCGCCCCTCAGGCCCACCTTCCCGCGCGGCCTCGTCCGCAGCTCACCCGCTCCGCGCCGCCGCCGCCCCCGCGGTCCCCGGCATGGCCGTCTACCGCCTGTGCGTGACCACCGGCTCCTACCTGAAGGCCGGCACCCTGGACAACATCTACGCCACGCTGGTGGGCACCTGTGGCGAGAGCCCGAGGCGGAAGCTCGATCACGTGGGCAGGGACTTCGCCAAGGGGTCGGTGAGTACGGAGGAGCCCTGGGGACCCCCCCCCCCCCCGCCCCCCCGCCTCCTCCTCCTCCTGTTGTTGTTAGCGCTTTACGTGGTTTTCCGAGACAGCGTCTCTCTGTGTAGTCCTCGCTGTAGACCAGGCTGGCCCTGTACTCCGCGATCGGGCTGCCTCGGCCTCCCGCCCCCGCCCGGGCTCGTCTGCGGGAGCAGGGGAGGCCCCGACGCGCGCCCCTGAGTCCCGGCCTCCCACTGGCTTCCCGCCGCTCCAGGTGCAGAAGTACAAGGTGCGCTGCGAGGCGGAGCTGGGGGAGCTCCTGCTGCTGCGCCTCCACAAGGAGCGCTTCGCCTGCTTCCGCAAGGACCCCTGGTACTGCAGCCGCGTCAGCGTCACCGCCCCGGACGGCACTGTCGTCCCCTTTCCCTGCTACCAATGGATCGAGGGCTACTGCACGGTGGAGCTGCGGCCGGGCGCAGGTAGGCCGGGGCCGGGACTGCGCAGAACCGCTTCTTAGGGCCTAGGAGCGGGGTCTCGCCGCGCTCGGGGCAGGGGCTAGGGTCGGGGTTAGGAACGCTGGCGTCCCAGGGAGATGGCGTCTGACCCAGAGCGCCCCTAAAGCCCTGACATGTAAGGGCCTCCTCGGTACTGTTTAGTGCTCTGGAGGCGCACACAGACGCGCAAATTCACAGTCGCGCGCACAAACAGACACGCGCACAGGCAGACTAGCGCACAGACAGACGCGCGCGCAGGCAGATGCGCACAGGCAGACGCGCGCGCAGGCAGATGCGCACAGGCAGACGCGCGCACAGGCAGATGCGCACAGGCAGACGCGCGCACAGACAGACGCGCGCGCAGGAAGACGCGCACTCTCACAGCAGGCGGCTGACATCCCACAGAACCCCCTGGGCCTCTCCAGAACGTGTCCTTCTAGATCGCAGAAAGGAATTAAGTTACAAGCCGGTTTCATCAGGTGGAAAGCCGCGGGGGTTTAGAGAATGGAGCGGCAAAGACCCCGCGCCTTGCTTCCTTCTAGCGTTTCTGGCGGGGAATGAAGTGTCTGGGAAGTGAGTTCGGCTCCCTTGCTGAGGTTTGGATTTCCAAGATGGCTTGGGGTGAGCCCTTTCTGCCTCCAGGACTGTCTGTTCCACTGGGGCAAAGCTAGGGTTGCTGTGCGTGCATGTGTGTGTGTGTGTGTGTGTGTGTGTGTGTGTGCGCGCGCGCGCCTGTGTGTGTTTGTGTGTGCCTGTCGTGATGAGGCAGAGGTGCGAGATGGCGTCCTACGTTAGCGTGAGGCAATGAATATTATTCCACAGCCTACAGTGCACTTTCCATATCAATTCCCACTGATCGTCAGAGCGCGTGGCGGCTCTATGTGTTTGGTATTTGTTCAGTAGTTATGAGGCGTGTGCAATGAGCCTGACACCAGGCGCCACGCCAGACACGGGGGACACGCAGTGAGTGTGACACCACGCCAGACACGGGGGACACGCAGTGAGTGTGACACCACGCCGGGCACGGGGGGGGGGAGCGGCAGGGGGGGGGAGCCGAGCGGGCGCCGGGGGGGGGGGGCGCGGCGGGGGGGGGGCACCCCGGCCGGGACGGGGGGGGGGGCGACACGCAGTGAGTGTGACGTGACTTGTGCCCTCAAGGAGCGCAGCGTCTGGAAAGGAGGCAAACCTGAGCGCTTAGGAATGCGGCTGTGGTTTGGCTGATCATCGCCATCCCTTCAAAGAGCTTCAAACCATGATGAGCGCGCACACACACGTGGCGGTGGCGCGCTCAGGGCGGCGGGCGCCAGCAGCGCGCAGGAGGAAGCGCGTTGGAGAAGAGCCTTGTGTAAAGAGCGGCTTTCATTCCCCACAGCCAGCACCGTGAGTCAGGACTCTCTCCCCCTGCTTCTGGACCACAGGACGCGGGAGCTGCAGGCCCGGCAGGAGTGCTACCGGTGAGGGCGGCTAACCCTCTGTGCCCTCTTCATTCCCACCTCAGCCTCTCTCAGGCTGTCCCGAGCTCTGAGGTCGGCCAAAACCTCGGGGGCCCAATGCAGACCCGGATCTGTGCTTAAACTTAACTCCACTCTAACAGTGATGGGGGCTCGACCCAGAGTACCGCTGTGGGCAGTTACCTGGCCCGGGGCAGCTGTGGCTCGGGAGTGCACACTCCCTGTCGTTCTCCTGTTGTTCTCTAGGCCCCAGCGCTCAGATAAAACCAAAGCCAGCACTTACCCACCAATGAGCCGTTCTCGTCCTGCTCCCGCCCCAGTGTACCCCAGATCCGCATACTGGAAATAAGTCCTGAATTTACCGATCTTCCTGCGCCTCCAGACGCATTGTGCTTTGTTTTTGTTTTTGTGAGGTTGGGGTGGGAAGAGCTCACTACGTGGCCCATCTCCGCCTTCGGGTTGTTGGGTTTCAGGTGTGTGTCACCACACTGAGTTTATCTCAACATAAGCCATTACGGCTCAGCAGCACAGTGCGGGCTGAGCACACGCAAGAGCCCGCCTTCCGCGTCCTAAAAGTCAGCGCCTCCATTTCTCCGGGTCTTTGTCACACATCCAGAAAGCAGAAAGCAGCCGTGGGCGCAGAAGCCACACTCTGAGAGGCCAAGGATTCTCTATCCCTATTAACCTCCAGCCTCTGTCCCCTCCCCTGGGCAGCTGGAAGATCTACGCCCCCGGTTTCCCTCGGATGCTGGATGTCAGCAGCTTCCAGGAGATGGAGTCAGACAGGAAATTTGCCTTGACCAAGACAGTACCTTGTGCAGAGCAGGGCAACAAGTGAGAGCCAGCGGCTTGGGAGGGAGCGGCGGGAGGGATGGGGGTCTGTGGAGGTGCCGCACGGAGGTGGGCGTCAGGGCCATACCAAGCCAGCTCTGTTCAGGGGCAGAGGAGACAGCGGGGGTCCTGACGTGTTCAGCAGAGGGAAGGGGCAGGAGTGGAGAACTAGGAAACCTGGGGACAGGCTGGAGAAGGAATTCGGGACAGGGACAGGTCCCACTGACGGTTCCTACGCCCTGGCCCGCCTCTCCTCAGCCCTGGGAACCGCTACCTGCCTGGCTTCCCCATGAAGATCGACATCCCGTCCCTACTGCACATGGAGCCCAACATTCGCTACTCGGCCACCAAGACGGCCTCGCTGATCTTCAACGCCCTCCCTGCGTGAGCCCGCCCCGCCCTTCACGCCTTCCTTCCACCCACGACGGGGTCCCCAGCCCTTCTCCTTACCCCGCTTCCCCTCCCTCAGATCTTCAGGTTCCTCCTTTCCCTTTGCCTTGTCCCTCAGGCTCCTCCCTATTCTTCAGGGCGTGGCCCCAGGGACCATGTGAAGCAGGGTAGAGGGGTTCTGCCCATCAGTCCTGAGGAGGTGAAGCCAGACCCGTTCAGGTTTAACTGCAAAGCCCCCATCCACATGTTCTGGATGCGTAACCTTGATTTTTTTTTTTTTGTTGTTGTTCTTCTTTTTTTGGGGGGGTATTGATGGGGGAGACAGGGTCTCTCTATATAGCCCTGGCCATCCTGGAAGGAACTCACTGTGTAGTCCAGGCTGGCCTCAAAGTCACAGAGCTACGCCTGCCTCTGCCTCCTGAGTGCTGGGATCACAGGTGTGCGCCAATGTGCCTAATGTAAACTTAATTTTTACCTAGTTTCTGGACAATTGTCTGGAGGAGAAGATGACCCACTCACTCTGACATCATAAGTTTTGCATTATTATTATTATTGTTATTGTTATTTTAAATGTGTGTGTGTCTACGTGAGTGCATGCCATGAGCGTGCAAGTGTCCACGGAGGCCGGAAGACGGCATCAGATCAGTTATAGGCAGTTGTGAGCAGGTATCGGATCCAGGTTCTCTGAGAGAAGCTAATGCCCCATTAATCACGGAGCCATCTCTCCAACCCCCGCCATCTCTCCAACCCCCACTGTAGGCTTTGAAGAAGGCAAGTGATACTATGTTAAAGATGATGCTAAAGCAAAATCTCTCCCTAGACGGTCCGTGGTCCCTCGGTAGAGGGGATCTGTGGGATCACCCGGGGGCGTGTGTGCAGTTACTAGGTTGTCAGGGTGGGCAGGCGGTGGCTAGGGTTTTCGGGGTGATGTGACGGAAGGGAGGAGTGCAGTTGCCTCGGGATATAGGAAGAGGCCAGAGGCCAGCTGGGTCTAGGATGTGTCTAGGTAGAAGCACAGGACTGAAGCAAGCCTGGGAGGTAAGAGAGAGAACAGCACGTGACTACGGAGTCCGAGTGGGGACCACGCCCCGGGTTCTGTGAGGAGACTCATGCAGAATTGCACGTGGGGGCCCAAAGGAGGCGAGGACAAGCAACGGGCCTTCGTTTCCTGCACGTGTGTGTCTGCATGATGCTCTCAGAAGCGCTCAAGTGGAGGAGGGTGTGGGGGGGCAGGCATGGCTGTCTGGGATAAACGGTGTGTGCGGCAGCCAAAGGTTCCTCCAGCTTCAGGACAGGGACATCAACCCGAGGAGGGCCCGTGGGGCATCGGGGAAGACAGAGTCTGAGAAGGATTCGAAGGTCTGAGCAGGAATGGGTCACCGGCTGGGGGTTCTGAGTTAGGTCAGAGGAAGGGGCTCATGTCAGGCAGCCTTGGAGGAATGCAGGGGTCGGTGGCTGAGGGCTGATCACAGGCTTTGCCGCGAAGGGCGTTTGCGGCAGGCCCCAGGAAAGGGGAAGTGTCTCTTGGTTTATTGCCTCCTCGGCCTCCAGGACTGAGCTCTTCCAGTTTTTCTCTGCAGCTCAGGCCTTGGGCAGGAGACCCTGAGGCAGCTGCATGCCTGGGACTGTGGAGGTTTGTGTGGCTGGGCTCAGCTCTGCCCAGCTCTCCCCCCCCCCCCCCCCCCCCCCCCGGGCTCAGCTCTGCCCAGCTCCCCCGCCCCCGGGCTGTGCCTAGAGAGTTCTCAGTGTTTGTGCAGCAAGCGAGCAAATACTTAGTGAGCTGTAAGGCCTCAAATCTACGCCCACCCCGGCCTTCCTCAGCTGCCCGCTGCACTCTTCAGAGCACATCAGCACCATCACGCTGCCTTCGTGACCCCTTGCTACAAGCCTACCTGTTCTGAGCTCTGTTCCTCTTCCTTTTGTCCAAGCCCTGGGGAATAAGCGCCTAAGAGGAGATGGGTGTGTCGGGATGCATGGAGCCCAGTCCTTCCCCCAGGAACGCACAGCGGGACCGGAAGTAACAGATGTGGGGTTATAGTGAAATGCAGGGGCTTGAGGGGAGTCAGTCAGGCGAGGCTTTAAAGGAACTGGCATCTGAGTCTCACCTAGAGGGCCAGACTGACCTGCGGTAGTAAGACATGGCTTTCCAGTGGAGACTCAGCTTGAATGAGGCTCTGGAAACAAGATCGTGAGAGCCAATCTTTCTCCCCCTCTAATGCTCATAGATGAAAAAGAAAAACCATAGCCAGGCATGGTGGTGCACACCTTTAATCCCAGCACTCGGGGAGGCAGAGGCAGGTGGATCTCTGTGAGTTCGAGGTCAGCCTGGTCTACAAAGTGAGTCCAGGACAGCCAGGGCGACACAGAGAAACCCTGTCTGGAAAAACATAACAAACAACAACAAAAACAAAAGGAAAATAAGAACCAGGCAGCGTAGACATGCAGAGGCCACAGAGGCCACAGCGCGTCCACACTGTCACCAGGGGTGAGCACAGCACGCTAGTGGTTGTGTTTGGAAAGCAGGCCTTGGTTGGCCTTGTCTCTCCCAGCAAAGGCTACAGGAAGGCGCTGGGGCTTTGTCTCTCGGGCAGAAAGGAGCCATGGAGTGTCGAAGGGAGTTTTAGAAGTCTGAAGAGAGGGCGCATCTCTTCTGTGCACACACTCCCTCCTCCCGTGCAGGGAGGGCTGCCTTTGAAGCAGGGCCTCACTCTAGCGCCAGACTTCCCTCCTGTGTGGGTTCTTCGGCACCTCTCCTTGGGAAATGGCCCGGCTGATTGTCTCCAGCCTGGAGCACAGGTCTCCTGCTGGCCCCACCGCCAGCTGTCACCTTCTGTCCCTCAGATCCCTGGGCATGAAGATTCGAGGTCTGCTGGACCGCAGGGGCTCCTGGAAGAAGCTGGACGACATCAGGAACATCTTCTGGTGCCACAAGACCTTCACCACAGGTACGCAGAGCCACGCGGGCGCCTGTCCTTTACCATGACTCCCGCCCATGGCAATTGCTGGATCCCAGTGGGAACCTCCTCAGACAGGACTGGGAGAGACCATAGAGACATCACTGACCCGAAGGGACTCATGCCCATTTGAGAAGACCTGACCTCTGTCAGGGCACTTGACTCCCTTCCTCACCTTACCACCAGATGGTCCGGGGTTTGGGATCAGAGAGACCCTGGTTCTAACCCCAGAGCTGCCGCTGTCTGTCAGTGTCTGGCATAACTGAAAGTGCAGTTATAGCCCCTTGTGTTGTTGCTGGGGGGAAACGAGCCGTGATGCGGGGCAGAGGCTGCGCAGGACCAGAGTTTGGAACATAGTTTCCAGAGCGTCTGGTTCCCTCTCTCGCCCCCTCCCCACAGAGTACGTGGCGGAGCACTGGTATGAGGACAGCTTCTTTGGGTACCAGTACCTCAACGGCGTCAACCCCGTCATGCTCCATTGCCTCTCCAGCTTGCCCAGCAAGCTGCCCGTCACCAATGACATGGTGGCGCCTCTGCTGGGCCCGGGCACCTGCCTACAAACAGAGCTAGAGGTGAGTGAAAACCTCAGCAGTGGACATGAGGAGGGAGGCGGGTGGGTAGCCATTGTGGGCTATGGCTGTAGAGAAGAGGTGGCATGGTTCAGGTCTGGGCCCATCCACAGGGGAGGCGTGTCTGTCTGTCAAGAACAGATAGGGGGGAGGCCCAGGTGGGTCTTGGGGTTATTTGAGGCCTGTTTCAGGGTCTGAGAGATCCCAAGTGTTGAAGCCAAGATGGCTGCTTTAGGACAGGCCTGCCGAGACCGGCAGGTGTAGCAGAGACGATTACAAAGGATGGGAACTGAGGATGTGGAGCGGTTGGCGACCTGGTCTCTGGTGACAGCCAAGCCCTCAGACATTCTCCGAGGCTGTGGCTGTGGCTGTAGACTCACTGTGTATTGCTTTTGCTGTTGTTGGATACGCTGAGGTCAGAGGAGGGGATTCCTTCTGAGCTGAGGGAGTAGGACGAACAAGGTATGGGGGGAGGAGCAGAAGCTGGCCTGTGCAAGCCCAGAGGCCAGGGGAGGGATTGCACAATGGCAGACTCAGCTAGACCTCATTCCGGACATTCTGGGAAGGGTGCGGTACGCAGCGTCATCGGCCATTAGTGCAGGCAGCAAGAATTGCTGAATCTCGAACCGGGGACCTCAGAGAGAAAAAGAGGGACACGGCGGGGTGGGGGGCAGAGGGTTTGTTAAATCTCCGTGGGCCTTCTCCAGAGGGGCCACATCTTCCTAGCGGACTACTGGATCCTGGCGGACGCCCCTGTCCATTGCCTAAACGGCAGCCAACAGTACGTGGCCGCCCCGCTCTGCCTGCTGTGGCTCAGCCCGCAGGGGGCGCTGCTGCCCGTGGCCATCCAGGTGAGCGCGGGGGAGGGCTCGCGGAGCGGGGCGGCGGCTGACCCGGCGACCCCGGCCGAGGCACGCCTCTCACTGCTCCCGCACGCAGCTCAGCCAGACCCCGGGGCCGGAGAGCCCCATCTTCCTGCCCACTGACTGCGAGATGGACTGGCTGCTGGCCAAGACGTGGGTGCGCAACTCCGAGTTCCTGGTGCACGAGAACAACACGCATTTCCTGTGCACGCATCTGCTCTGCGAGGCCTTCTCCATGGCCACCCTGCGTCAGCTGCCGCTCTGTCACCCCATCTACAAGGTCGGCGGGGCGCTGGGTCAGCGCGGAGGGGCGGGGCCGCGGCCCTCCCGGACCCCGGCTCACGCGACCTCGCTCCTCTCGCAGCTGCTGCTTCCCCACACTCGCTACACGCTGCAGGTGAACACCATCGCGAGGGCCACGCTGCTCAACCCGGAAGGCCTCGTGGACAAGGTGCAGCCTCCCCGCCACCACATAAGGCCCCGCCCACAAGTTGTGCCCTCGCTCCCTAGACCCTTGCATAATCCCCGCCCGCCTCTTCCTAGAAGCTGTTTGCCCCTCCCCTAGGCCTTGACCCAGGCTGGCCAATGCCACCCCACCCATGGGCTAGACCCCGTCAAAAGTAGGTTTTATGGGCAGGCGGCCTTAGCCCAGCCCTGCCCCTAGCTGACCACGAGGTTCCGTCTCCCCGGCGTAGTCATTCTGTGGTTATCAAGGGTCCCCCTCCCATGCACACAGTAGGTCCTCAGCCTGCTTTAGGCAGCCTGGTGTTAGTATTGGATCCGTGGTCCTCGGCTGCGGGATAAATCGCATGTGCTGACCCACTTGTGCCAGCCGGTCTCCAGGCCCTGGGGTGGGATGCGGGCCAGCTTGGGAAGCCCAGCTGTGTGCTGTGTCCCCAGGTCACGTCCATCGGCAGGCGCGGCCTCATCTACCTCATGAGCACAGGGCTGGCGCACTTCACCTACACCGACTTCTGCCTTCCCGATAGCCTGCGAGCTCGCGGTGTCCTGACCATCCCCAACTACCACTACCGCGACGACGGCCTGAAGATCTGGGCGGCTATTGAGAGGTGGGGGCGGGGTGGGGGCGCTGCAGCGCGGGCTCGAGCGTGGAGGCTTGGGCGCTAGGTGTTCTCAGACTCCCGAGAACAGGCGCTGGCAGGCAGGTTTCCGGTGAGATCCCAAGACTGTGAGTTCACAGGGAGGGGGTGCCTTGTCCAGAGGACTCAGCTTGGGCTCGCTGAGGTAGGCAGGGTGTCTTCCTCCTGTCTGCTGACCAGGAAGGGAGGGGAACACGGTGTAGGCTCTGCTCTTCATGGCCTCCCAGGGAGGCGACCCAAAACGTCCTTGATTTGGAGAGTGGGGGGACTTTCCGTTGTTTGTTTTGGTTTTCCAGACAGGGTTTCTCTGTGTAGCCTTGGCTGGCCTGGACTCGCCTTGTAGACCAGGCTGGCCTCGAACTCACAGAGATCCACCTGCCTCTGCCGCCAGCGCCCAAATAGAGAGGCAGAGAGGTGAGGACTGAAGCGAGTCAGCGGTTCCAGCCAGATCTGGGGGTCATACTGAAGTCATCGTCCATCTTTCAGGACTCTTGGTGGCCGGCGCTGGCCTCTCCCCTCCCTGAGCATCTGTGGGCCTCAAAGTCTGGCCTAGCTAGGCTCATGCTCATTGCAGGGGCAGCAGCATTTTTTCCTTGCAGGTTCGTCTCAGAGATTGTGAGTTACTATTATCCCAGCGATGCGTCCGTGCAGCAGGACTCCGAGCTGCAGGCCTGGGTGGGCGAGATTTTTGCTCAGGCGTTCCTCAGCCGGGAGAGCTCAGGTATCCCCCTCTGTCTTTACCCACACCGCCCACAACTCTTGACAATCCAATTCTCATCCGCACCTACCTCTACCTCCATTAATCAGTTCTTATTACTGAAATCCACACTGTTACCTGCTGCAGGGGATGGAACCCAGAACCTCACTCATGCTAAGTGAGGGCTCTACCGCTGAGCTGCATCTCTGAAAGCCATACCACGCTGTCCTATTTAACTGCTGAGGCGGGATTCTAAACCGGCTTGGACTATTTCCAAAGCTGTTGCTTTTCAGCCCTGGTCCTGTGGTTCCTCCGCCTTATGTACACTTATTTGCTGTCCAGCATGTGGCGGGGCCACCTCTGACTTTAGCAGACTCCGGAGCTCTCTCTCCTGTGTAATCATCTTGCTAGGTGGTCATGTGAGCCACTGAACTCTCTTTCCCCCTCTCACTCCCGTGGTCATGAGCTTCTCTCTGGGGTGATTGGTCTTGCCGAGGCTGGCTCCTGGTTTACGCTGCTCCTCACCGAAGCCACGGCTGGCGCCTCCCTGCCTTCTCCAGCTTCTGTTCCTCAGATACAGTGCCAAGCAGAGGCCCCACACTGCCCTCCCTCCCTTAGCCTTCTCTCAGTCCAGAGATGTGGCCTCTTGCTCCCTGGTAATCCTCCTAACTCCTGGCCAGCCTGGCTCCATGACTCCTCTCTACACACCCCTAATTGGAGGAACCTTTCTGTGGCTCCTCCATAGCACAGTTCCAGATTCAGAAGTCCCAACCAACATGGCCTTCCCAAAGGACCTCTCTCTCTGTCCAATGTCTTTCCTGTCTCTGTCTCTCTGTCTCCTCTCTCCTCTGTCTCTCTATCTCTCTGTCTCTCTCCCATTGTTGTTTTGAGACAGGAACTCACCATATAGACCTTACTAACCTGGAACTCTTTGTAGACCAGGCTGTCCTTAAACTCACAGAGCTCAGTCTGCCTCTAACCCTGAGTGCTGGGATTAAAGGTCTTTGTCACCATGACCCGCTGTTTTTTAAAGCTTTGTTTTTTGTTTTTGAAACAGAGTTTCTCTGTGTGCTGTCCCAGCACTCACTTTGTATACCAGGCTGGCCTCCAACTCAGATACCCGCTGGCCTCTGCCACCCAAGTGCTGCCATGATTGTCTATTTTTTTCTATATTTGTTTGCTTGGTCTGTGTGTGCAGGGGGCACAACAGTGCATGTGTGGAAGTCAGAGGTCACTTACAGGATCAGTCCCCTCCTTCCCCTGTATGGGTCCCAGGGATCGGGCGGCACGTGCCCCTAACTGTGGAGCCTTTGCTTGCATTAAAGCGCTCAAATGTCATCTACCAGTTTCCCTCACCCTGGCCTGGGTCTTCTTGGTAGGCGGGCGGCTGTTTAGCTGACTGGTTGCTTCTGGTGGCTACTCAGGGGAGTTCTGACTGGGGAAACCCAGGAAAACGGTAGTTTCAAGTCCCCTCTAGACAGAACAACGACGGCAGTCCTATCCAGAAGGGACTTTGTATTTTTTTTTAATCTTTTAGACAAAAGTTTTCAAACACATAGCATACTAATAAACACTGTTTAACCCACCCACCAGATTCTATAATGGCTGACATTTTGCCCTATTTGGTTAATCCGTTGTTGGAGTTTGTTTGATCTAGACAGCATCTTACTATGTAGCCCTAGCTGGCCTGGAACTGGATGTGTAGACCATGCTAGCTCAGGCTTCTAAATTACAGAGATCTGCCTGCCTCTGTTTCCCTACTGAATCAAAGGCATATGCCAACCACACCCGGCCCACAGACCCCTTTTTGTAGCTCTGAGGATCAAATCCTGGGCTTTCTACATGGACAGCAGCTGTTGTACCACTGAGCTTTGCCATATACTTAGCAAAGTTGTCAGTACTCATCAGCATCAGCCTCCATTCAGTACAACTCTTCATTTCCCCATCTGCCCTGTTTTCCTGCATTGATCCAGCTGAGACAGGAGCCAGCCAAGGACCACATTTTATTTAAACTTTGAAGACTTTTAACTTAAAGCAGCATTTTATGGAGATTGTTTGTTTTGACAAGGTCTCACTATGATCCTTACTGGTCTGGAACTCTCTACGTAGCCCAGGCTGGCCTCAAACATTCAGAGGCCTGCCTGCCTTTTCCTTCCTTGTGTGAAGGCTGAAGGCATGCGCCACCATGCCCGGCTCGATGCTTTTCGTAATTACGTAACCTGTCGCCATGGAAAAGCCCAGGCTCAGGCTGGAGAGTGTGTCACCTTAGACCTTATCTAATTCCTTTCTCTTGCGTGGCCCATTTTGTTCCTGTCTCGTGTAGTTTTTGTAAACCAAAAGGAATGTGTAAGTGTTGCACATTTTTGGCGAGAATATTTCTCAGGTCTTTGTGGCACGTGCTTTGCATCATGTTGAGAGACACCTGATGTCAGCTGGTCTCAACATTAACAAGGCCAGGAGTGATTTCTAGGTTAAGGTGATGACAGCCAGATCTCTCTCAGATATTTTAAAGGCTGACCTTTCCCTGTGTTTTGCAAACTCACTGTTAATCATGATCCTAGCTATTTCTTTCCCTTGGCATTTGTTTGAGACTCAAATTGAGGTGGGCACAGCGGCTCACGCCTGTAATCCCAGCACTCAGGGAGGCAGAGGCAGGTGTATCTCTGTGAGTCTAGCCTGTTCTACAAAGCGAGTCCAAGACAGCCAAGATTACTTAGAAAAATCCTGTCTTGAAAAACCAAAAAAAAAAAAAAAAAAAGAAAGAAAGAGACCCAAATTGAGGTTTGTTTACTGTTGGTTCAGTCCCCCGCTTTATTAAACGTGCTTATGAGGCTGTAGACTACGCCACTTTCAGATGGACACCAGCTCTTCCAGCCAGCTCAGACGACTCTAGATTCTAATTCAAAGGTAAAACATACACACTGAGCTGCCGCCTGCACCAGGCTGTCGCGTCTCAAGGGACAGGAATAAACGCTGTAGAAGGCCCTGTGGCTTGGCTCCTGCATCACGTCTTCATTTACTTCTGGGTTTAGACAACCAGCTGGGATGGAAAGCACAGAGAAGACTACCCGCTCCGGGCTAATGCCGGATCCTCCGTCCCAGCCTCCCTCCCCTCAGCCTGGCTCTGAGCATTCCTTTCTTCTGCCTTCCTCGGATGGTTAATCTCTTATTGTCTGCATCAGTGCCCTGCACTGTGCCAGCGGCTTCCCCTTTGGTGTCCCCTCTCCCAGCCTCTTGCTGCTCACTCATAAGGCCTTCAAGGTAACTCCCTTGACAGTGCTCAGAAACCCAGAAGAGACTCATTTCCCCTGCCGAATCACAGGCATAGTTTCAGTCAGGTTCCCTCCCGGTCCCCTCACCTACCTCATGTCCCATGCCTTGCCCCTCCTGTTTCTAACCGTCTACTCACTTCATTCTGCCAACAGTTATAAGGCCCCTAGTATGTATTAAGTGCCGTTCTAGATTCAGGGTTTAGCAGGGAGCAAACGGACGGAGCTGTGTTCTTAGTGGGGCTTGACGTACTTTGGGGGAGATGGTGATCATCGACGAATGTGTCAGGTGGCTATGAATGCTGGGAAGGAAAGCAGAATCTTATTAGAGATATTTCATACAGATAGCCAAGGAATGGTTGTCTGGGGAGGTAGAGCTTAAGAGGTGAGCGAAGGGGTTGAGGGAACTAGCTGTGTGGACTCTTGGGGTGAGACCCCGGCAGTGGTACTGGGCTCTGGGTACACCAGTGTGCTTGAGGAATATGTCAAAGGCCTCCTGGGGAGCCAGAGCAGGGTAAGTAAAGGGAAGAAAAGCTGGGAAGGGAGCAAGGAGCTGGCAAAGTGAGTGACAGGGGACTCTCTAGAAGGTTCTAGTGGTGTGTGTATGTGTGCGTGTGTGTCTAATCCAGGCCTTGTATATTGCTATACCCACCTCCAACCCTTGATTTAGCCCCACAAAGGGCAAAGGTGGAAGTGACAGGATTCATCCAGGAGAGATGGAGGTGACTGAAGAGCGATGGAAAGCATGGTGGGCATCTGGAAGTCTTTGCTGATATGTATAGTGTGAAATAAGAGGAGCTGTGAGCCAATAGGTTTAGATCTAAGCAACTGGGTACAGAACACAGTTGTCAGCTGGGAGGCATCGCACACCTTTAAGCTCAGCACTCAGGAGGCAGAGGCTTTTGGATCTCCGTGAGTTGAGACTAGCCTGAATTATAAATCAAGTTCCAGGGCGGCCAGGGTCACATGGAGAAACCCTGCTTCAAGACAAACAAACAAACAAACAAGGACTGTTGTCATGCCAGGGGTGGTGGCACACGCCTTTAATCTCAGCACTTCTGAGGTAGAGGCAAGTGGATCTCTGAGTTTGAGGCCAACCTGGCCTACGTAGTGAGTTTCAGAACAACCAGAGCTGTTTTACTACGAGAGATCTTGTATTAAAAAACAAAACAACAACCAAATAATACATTGTCCATTGGCATCTGAAAGGGATCAGTTCCATGAATAAAGCCATGGACTTGGATGAGGTCAGTGTGGTGCACAGAAAGGAAGATGGAGGGCCGAGCCTGACAATACTCCTGTCTGCTAGTCACTTATTGACTGATCTGTGTGCTCTGGGACATGGTCTCACAGATCTCAGGTTGTCCTTAAGTCAATAAGTTCAAAATAAGCTACCTTGACATGATTTTCCGCCTCCACCGTGGAATGCTGGGATTACAGCCATGTGCCGCCAACGCTGGGCGTATGCTGTGCTGCATAGAGGTTTATGTAGCTCAAAACAGAAGAAAAAGCCTGTCCAGGCGTGGTGGCACATGCCTTTGAGCCCAGCTCTTAGGAGGCAGAAGTAGGCTGATCTCTGTGAGTTCAAGGCCAGTCTGATCTACAGAGGGAAACCAGGACAGCCAGAAAGAAACCCTGCCTCAAGGGAAACAAACAGAAACAACAAAGCCAATGAACCCGGGCCCTCTGCCATTATGTATTTTCTTTTTTTAAATTGTTGTATTTATTTTTATTGTATGTGTTTTATTGAAGCACTGGGTGTGAGTAAAGGCATGGGTACCATGTTGTATGTGTGAGGTCAGAGGACAACTTGCAGGAATCGATTCTCTCCTTTCGCCGTGTGTGCCAGGTGGGGGTGGGCATGGGTATGGCGGTGGGGGGGTAGCCAGGTGGGGGTGGGCGTGGTGATGGCGGTGGGGGGGTAGGCAGGTGGAGGGGCGTGGTGATGGCGGTGTGGGGGGGGGTAGTGTCAAACTCAGGTTGTCAGGCTCCGTAGCAAGGTCCTTCACTCACCTTGCTGGCCCTTTCTGTTTGGTTTTATTGACACGGGATCTCGCTGCAGTGCCCCAGCAGCTCTGAGCTGAGTTCCAGCCGTCCTGCTTCAGTCTCCCAGGTCAGATGTGACCTCTGCGCCTGGCCTCTGTCACCTTTCTTCATTTAAGCCTCACCTGTCCTCCAACGCAGGACTCCTCCTCTTCTCAGGATGCTGCAGCCCCCAGCTCTGGTTTCTGTCCCCGTGTCCTCTCTTGGTTCCGAGCTTTTTCTTTAATCTTTTTCCTGCCTTCCCCCCCCTGTGCACTTTTGAGTAAGTGCTCTGTGGTCTCTTGTCTCTTCTGCTAAGCAGAGGCCGCCTTGCTAGTGGATTGGCCAGGATGTTGATAACGATGACATGAGTAGCGCCAAATCATTAAGCGCTACTGTGGGCTAGAGAGGAAGTGGCAACGGGGTGCCTTCCAGGGCAGAGATAGGCAGCTTGTCGAGGCTCTGTCTGGAGCCCAGTTTTTCATCATTTCCCAGTCTCTCGACTGGATCCTATCCCGATGTCCTTCAGAGGCCAGAGGTCGTGATGGTGGCCACCCCATGAATGATTTTAGTCTGAGGATGGTTGTATTCAGTCTGGCCCTCTGCCTTCCCTCTCCCCTTGCAGTGAACCCCTGCGCTCAGAAGCTCCCAGGAATCTGCCCGCATTCACGCCCTCTTCCTTTCCTCTCCACACCCAGGCTTCCCAAGCCGGCTGTGCACCCCGGCAGAGCTCGTGAAGTACCTCACTGCAATCATCTTCAACTGCTCCGCCCAGCACGCCGCGGTCAACAGTGGGCAGGTAAGCCTGGGAGGGCAGGCGGAGGGGCGCTGGGCCGCCAAGGTGCTCAGTTCCAAAGGCCTATGAGGTGGCAGTGGACTTGAGGTCAGGGTTCTGCTTGAGCGAGTGGGTGGCTCGGGGTTGGGGTGGGATTGCCATCACCATCGGGGTTGGAGTGGTGACTGGGTGGATGGAGGACGAGTGCCAAGTGATGGCTGGGTGGAGTCGCATCTGGTTACACCGAGACCTCTGGGAGCTCGAGTTGGGAGCAGAGCTTGACCTTGGCAAGAGCTGGCTGCACAGAGCATCAAGTTGATGGCATGCCAGCCCAAGGCCTTTGTCTAGGGCTGCCTCCTCCCTGGGTTCTCCTCCCTCCACGGCGACTGGTTCTACCCACTCTCTGGGCTTGTGGAACTTCTGGGACTTCCCATGGTCTTCTCCTTTCTAAATCCTGAGATCTGGGATGGTTGAGGTGGAATGAGGAGCGATGGAGAGAATGCTCAGACATGCCTACCTGGGTGCGGGGTCCTCTCCACAGCATGACTTTGGGGCCTGGATGCCCAATGCCCCGTCATCCATGAGGCAGCCTCCACCTCAGACCAAGGGGAGCACAACGATGGAGAGTTACCTAGACACCCTCCCGGAAGTGAACACCACCTGTAGCAACCTTCTCCTCTTCTGGCTGGTCAGCCAAGAGCCCAAGGACCAGGTGTGTGCATGCAGGTGTGGGACAGAGTGGGCATCACAGGGCCTGGGCAGTGACGTGGTTACAGAAGGAGGGCTGCCGGCTACTTGCTGGGATTTATGTCCGCTGCTCAACTGCCTTGAGAGTCATTTTGTCTCCCCGGGAAATGATACTTGATCGCCAAGGACACACATAAAAAGAAGCAAATGCCACTTTAGTGGCTGAGTATGATTTTTATGTAACTTACAAATTATCCCTCTATCCATCTATGGGTCCATCCATCCAGTCATGCATTCATCTATTGACCACTCATTAATTCACCAGGAACGAGCATGGGGTTCCTCCCACATGCCAGCATAGTGTGTGATGCTCGGCACATAAAGCTGAGTGAGATGCCATTGCCACCTTCTTGATGCCTTCATGGGATGCGCAGGTGGATGAAGAGGGACAGGAGAGTGTGGTAGGAAGGGCTCACGTATTAATCCTCCATTCAAGATCACTTTCTGAGCGCCCATGGCATTCCAGGCACGGGTGGCAGGCAATGCACCTTGTTGTTCTGCAACAGAGGCAAGGAGAGGGCTTTGTGGAACCTCCGTGGGCTTGGGAGAACCCAGGCGTACAAGCTGAAACCTGTGGGGCAAGGAGCTTGGCAGATGGAGGAGGGACAGAGCTGGTTTCTAGGCAAAGGGAGGGACAGCCGGGAGTGGAAGGGAGAGTCTAGCTGTGTGTTCTTAGGATCACGGAGGTTCAGGGCAGTGACACGGCAGGGCAGGGTGACAAGCCAGATAGGACTTTGCATAGTATTTATTCCGGGGACAATGAGGCCACTCAAGGCTTTTAAAGTAGAAGTGACATGACTTAATCTGTTTCAGGAAGGGTGTTCCTGTGGCACTGTGAGAGGAACAGGATTGCAGAGAGGAAATGAGGCAGCTAAGGAGTTTAGGCCAAAGTGAGCAGCAATTGAATCACCAGTTTCCAGCATGGCCATTCATACAATGTCTTACCCCATCATGGCGCTCTGCCTTCTTGATCGCCTCCAGGCCAGGGTCATGTGTCCCCTGGGAGTGCCCCATTTCTCAAGTTTGGATTTATCTGGTACTAGAGACACTAGAAACATTGCAGGTTTCTTTATTATTTTTTTAATCTCTCTAGCAACTTTTTTCTTTCTTTAACTCTTTGTTGTTGGTTTTGTTTTTGTTTTTTGAGTCTCTTTATGTAGCCTCCTGGCTGCCCTGGACTCTCTTGGTAGGCCAGGCTGGCCTCTAGCTCACAGAGATCCTCCTGCCTCCGCCTCCCAAGTGCTGGGATTAAAGCTGTGTGCCACAACACCTGTTTCTTTACATTTTCTTCCTTCCTTCCTTCCTTCCTTCCTTCCTTCCTTCCTTCCTTCCTTCCTTCCTTTCTCTCTCTCTCTCTTTCTTTCTTTCTCTCTCTCTCTTTCTTTCTCCCTTTCTTTCTCTCTCTCTCTCTTTCTCTCTCTCTCTTTCTTTCTTTCTTCCCTTTTTTTTGGAGTTGGAGAGATGGCTCAGAAGTTAGAGCCTTATCTGCTCCTCCAGAGGACTCAGGTTTGGTTCTAGCACCGCCACGGAGGCTAACAGCTGTCTGTAACTCCAGTTTCAGGGAATCCAGCATCTTTTCTGGCCTCTATGGGCACCAAGCATGCTTGTGGTATACATACATACATACATGTAGGCAAAACACTCCTACATATAAAAGAAACATAAATTAATCTTTTTTAAATGTTTATTTTTGAGACAAGTTTCTCAATGTTTCCAAGGCTGGCCATGACCTCCTGGGTTCAAGCCCTCATCCTGTTTCAGCCTCTAGAGAAACCTGGACTATAGGCTGGTACCTGGTTCAATTTGTGTGTGTGTGCGTGTGTGTGTCTGTGTGTGTGTAAAATGGATTGAACCTAAGGCTTAAGTACACCCGAGCCCTTCCTAGCAACTTTATGTAAACTACATTTATGCATTGATTTCTTGGATAGGTGCACCTGCCTGGGCACATGAGTGCAAGTCAGAGGACCACTTTCAGGGGTCATTGCTCTCCGGCTACAAGGGCCCAGGAGGTCAAAGTCATGTCAAGCCCTTATCTACTGGTCCATCTCTCTGAGCCTTTCCTAGCAGGTTTTAGCCATCTTCTCCTCTGAAGACCACAGGAACTTACCCTCCGCTGTTCCCGAGGACTGAGGGAGCAAAGGGAGGGTCATTAGGAGGCCCTGTCCTCAGAAGCCATGAACTGACTACAACAGTAGCTGTAGCTGCGAGGATCTGACCTCTGCCTCAGTCATTGGATCGGATCTAAAGTAAAGCAATTTAAAACTCAAAGCTAGTAGCCAGGCTGTGGCCACACACCTTTAGACCCAGCCAGGGCTACACAGAGAAACCCTGTCTCAAAACAAACTAACAAACGGAAAAAGCGATAGCATGCCTTTACTGCCAGCACTAGGGAGGCAGAGGGCAGGTGGGGCTCTGAATTCGAGACCAGCCTGGTCTACGCAGTGAGTTCCGGGACAGCCAGGACTACACAGAGAGACTCTGTCTTGGAAGAACCTAAATAAATAAATAAATAAATAAATAAATAAATAAATAAATAAATAGTAAGCAGCTACATTTAAGACACCCGGCATGTATCGCTGGTGAACCTCTGTGGGGGAGAAAGTTGAGGTTCAGAAATTAGATAGATTGTTTAGCTCACAGAGCAACTGCGACGGCCTTGAGTTCAGTCTGTCATGCCTTGTGCTCTGCTCTTTTTCATGATCATACTACAGTTTCAGAAGTTAGGTATCAGTGTGATAAATAAAACATAAAGCTGTAATTTTTTTTTTTTTTAAGACAGGTCTTTATGTAGCTCTGGCCGGCCTGGAACTCACAGAGATCCTCCTGCCTCTGCCTCTGCCTCTGCCTCTGCCTCTGCCTCTGCCTCTGCC